AACCGGACAATCCATTTGAAGGAATCGACTGTCAGCGGGAGGCTACAGCACATCTCTCTCTCGCCGACACTTCGAGCTGCCTGAGGCTTGAAGTGGCACCGAGCCAGCATGGGCAACCGATCCGGTCAGCTGTTCCCCATCTGTCTGCGAATCTGAAGTGGTAGATGAGTATAAATCAATAGTCCCCCTCTCGAGAATAAAATTGTTATATGAACACATGTTAATATCAAATTAATTCACTCAACTAGCAGTACTTATGAGTGCCTGAAGGTTAATTATTTTAATAGGATTGGTGAGGTTTAGTGTAACCAACGGTATTCTAAGGTAATATCCCTCTTTTTATGTATCTTTTCAGCTTCGAATGTTTTATGTTTCACTACATCAATAATGTACATGTGTTCGTGTGTTGTAAAGACTCCTTGTTGCTCTGCCGATTGATTCTTAGTATCCAGTGTAAATTCACGCAATCCACTGTTACAGCTAAATATTGTGCCAATAAATTAACCAAACCCCTACATATTGTAAAGATATAGGGACTAACAGTATCCTTATATAAACAGTGCCTTGCAAAAGTATTCAGGGATCGCGAATTTATGCTAACGGCATATTTCAGTTTTTTTCTTTTTCTTAAGAATACTTTCTAACATAAAACAATGTCACATTAAAATAATTTTGAGTTTCAGTGCTTCGAAAGAAAAATATCACAGAGAAAAAGATTTCAATGTAGGATTTGTAATTTAGTCAAATGAAATAATCGGTCAAGGGTCTGAATACTTTTGCAAGGCACTTGTATGCTACATAAATTCAAGGAGGTAATCTGTCTTCCTTAAATTTGCTTATTCCTGCCTCTCCACACCAAACCTTTCCTCCTGCATCTCTCCTTTTTTACTTCTTCCTGGTTACACACAAAACTGACCGGGTAAACAAGTTATATTTTAAATGTATATACCCGTAGTAATCTAAATAGATATAGTCACTATGCAAATACTGTAATCGTTAGAATAAAATCCTTGAAATAACAGAATAACATTTTTATCACAAATTTATTTGCAAAATAACAAAATGTTCATTTTTGTCTAAACCGAGCTTAGGGGCAGAAGGCACTGAAAAGCAACAGATAAGTTAAAGACAGCACTATGAACAATCATTCTAACCGAAAGAGAGACCTAGGTGTACCACTTAAGAACTGTGGCTTTCATGGTTGAAAGTACTTTACATTGGGAATTATTGACATTTACAAGCTAAAGACTGGAATGAATGTGTGGCTTTTAGAAGCGATCAAAAAACGTAGTTCTTGTGGGTTTTAATATTTTAAGCCACTATGTATGTTTTTTAAGTTTTTAAATTTTAAATAAGATTTTTATACATATTGTTTTGCTGCAATTTTTTTTTCTTTTTAGTAGTTGATATAATTATGGTTTTATAATCATTTGGCTTCATCAAAGGTGTTAGAAATAGTTGTTAGAAATATGCAAGAACAACAAAGTTGCCCTTGTAGCGTGTCTGTGCCCAATCACAGACTTGGGTTACACCACATGGGACAAACACCCTATAGAATCCCTGCACACAGAATTCTATAAAAACATCCTCCATGTGCAGAGAAACATACCTAATAATGCATGCTGAGCTGGATTAGGCCAATAGCCATTGCATATACAAAAAACAGCAATAAATTATTGGTTACACCTAAAAAGCAGTGACCAAAACTCCTATCACAAGTCCCTTCCGAGCCAAGAGAAGAGCCCCCCTCAGCCAGCTGGTCCTGAAGGTCACTGACATAAACAATAGTGATACCAACCAGCCTCAGGACAGCACTGATCAAACACCATAAATCAAAATCATCCAAGTCACCGCACAAATGAAACTACACTACCCCATCCACTGGGGAGAAACACAAACACAACACACACTTGATTGCAACAGGAACCTAAAAAGGTAACACACACTAGCTGAGTATCTGACCAGGGTAAAAGACAAGAAAGAGAAATAAGACCCTGACAAGGCAAAGGCTCAGTGATTGCAGCCTCGCCATAGACACTAGACACAGACAGACCTGACTGTACAAAGAGGACTGGCTGTGCTCCCATTAGTATACGAGCAGACAGCTGTGAAACAACATAGCCCACTGTGCTTCCTGCAAGCACTTTTGTTAACTTGTCTAAACATTTACTAATGCCCAACTAGCCCAGAAATAAAATCAGAACTAGAACCCTCAGAATGAGAATGTGCTGGTTTAATTGTAATAAGAGCGAAAGAAAAGAAAGATTCATGGAAATGGTTAGTACTGCAGCCCACCAAATTTAAAATCTGTTATCAAATCAATACTGATGTGTAGCACATTATGAATATTCAGGGGTGAATGCCTGTCTAACGTTGGGCCTGGTGAAGTTTTTATGTTGCATTGTTTGAAAAGTGTTACAGAATGTGACACAGCGTAGTAGAGAGAGTATGGTCTGGGCCAGGATTGCTGAGAAACGTCTACCCTTCCTTTGCAGCCTACGCATGCTGACGCAGCTACCCACCTGAACTACTACAGCCTATAACTCAGTCTGCTAAAGCTTGTAGTTTCATTTACCTTGCCTCCAAGTGGAAACTCCATTTCCCAGCAGGCAAAAGGAATGACGATCAATTTGTTTCCTGTGGGATGAAGCAGTTAATATGCTAAACTATCCTATTGCTTGAGAATTTCTGTGTATATTGCAGCTCGGGTGCCAGGGTGAGCTAGTAATGTTTTACTGTTCTGTGGGACTGGCACGTTCTGCACGTTCTTTAGAGACATTATACTGTTTGTGAGGATGGTTCCCTGCCTGGTGCATGCAGCTGAAACACCCTGGCTAGGGCTGACTTAGCTCGCCCAAATTGTCACATTGAGGTTTTAAGCTTTCATCATATTTATGACTGCAGGGAGTTACAGGACTGTACTGGATCTTCTTCCTTGAAACATCTTTATGAAAATGGTCTGTGTGTGGTGTATGTTACGGAGATGACCTGTCTTCTGTAGCATTAGGTTGGTGTGTTATATACTGTACTAGCTTGTTCTAGAGCAATCACATTTCAGTGTGGGTCCATTTTCCTGTGAATTTGTACACAGTATTTGTACTATGTAAAAATATTCCATCTCATCATTGACAGCACTTATTTTCCCAGTAAACACTGCCAAAGAGTCACTGGATTTGATAGTCAGTGTTTGATTTCTTCTTCAGTCCATATTATTCTTAAATTTGCAAATACTCTATTGAGGAAATCGAAAGGGTTAAGAATTTTGTGCTCTGAGAAAAGAACAACAGGCTCTGTTCTCGTACCTTTCCTTAGCCTTGGCGAGTAGCTGGTTGATAGCTGCAATCGCTCATGACTCTCTTTTATCAAGTAATAAGCATTCCGTTGTGAAACTAAATGTTCTCTTAGTACGCAAACAACTGAAAACGCTTAAGAAAATGTCATGTAGATGTTTTTCTACTGGAATATCTGCTATTGTTTTGGCGTCCTCTTGTATAACTAAATTAGTGTGACTCTCACTAGATAAAAGGGGAAACACTGCTGTATTCTTTTTCAGCTACAGTACATGCAGACCTGTCTTCTGTACTGCGCTCCTGTATGCATACATAAAGGTCCGCTATCCTGCTCACCTCAAACACCTCATCATTGAGTGATGTCCACACTATTTTGTGCTCATACCGTAATAGGCCCTCAAACAGTCTTTTTCAGTTTTGAGGAGTGGAAGAGGCCAGTCTTAAGCTGTCTTTGGTAAAAAAAGTCTTAGGAACATGGGTGGTTGGACATATTGGATTTTTTAAAAGTATTAGAAAATACAGAAAATATCCTTGGGAGCCACTAGCTTGTCAGGGGGTTATGAGATAAGAGACTTACCACAAAAATTCAACCCATGTCCAAATTTGGGATTTACTGATTTCTTTCCATCAGGTGGAAGGAGTACCTTTTTGTATGGTTACATTGATATTGTCTTCTTTTCCTCTTACGACACACTGAATCCACAATCACTGACCAAAGTTGAATTTGGTCTATAGGATGACCACAGTAAAGCTTTGATTAAAGTTTTTTTTTTGACAGCCACTGATCTTGTCAAAGATATCTGTTTGCATGCATTGTGGTACGTCTCTGTGGTAGAATGTAGCATATGTGAAGGGCCTATTATTAATGATTAGTACATAATTTACAGTATACAACCTCCCATTAGTGAAAAGGATGAATGTTCTTTACGAGGCCTTAAAAATGCTTCTCTTCTGTAATACATATTCTGAATGAGAAGTAGTCTAATTAATACAGCACTAAAATAATAGTAAAGTCCTAATAAATAAAATAATGTTTTGTCACTTGAATTTGCTGTCATATTTATATAATAAAACATGAACTAATATTATTTTCAGGATCATTTATTATTGTTTGAATTGATGGAAAAAAATCAGCCAAAATCATACCTTGTAATAATAACAATCAACTATAAGAAAGGGAATATCTCATGGCTGTTGTCTCATTCACGAGAATACTCTGTTCCCTCTTGCAGCCTGCTGGAGCTGTAGCAAAAGTCATTGAGTTCCAGGATGCACACCATATGTTTAATAAATACTACTACCATTAATAATAATAATAATAATAATAATAATAATAATAATACAAAGGTGAAATGAATTGGAATATTAACATGCTGTTCTCTATGGACATGATTTTAAAATAGTATTTTAAATTCCATGAAAGTTCTGTCTGATGTCTGCATCTTTCTTCATGTTGGCTAGAGCAACCAGACTCCCCACACTCCTCTTTAACTGACAATGAATACTTCTGAAGTAATGTGATCCTGAAGATTAGTATAAAATGACTGTAATCTAGAAGGTTTGTGTGAGACTGATAATATATAATCTTGCAACGTCAATACCATATTTTGTAATGTAAATCAGATGCATATGCCCTGCTGCAATGAGATATCCATAAAGTGCAGACGCTATTAAGCCATGACCCTGGAGCATGAGGAGAATTCCGTCTCAAGAAATTTGGCCATCCAAACTTCCCCTTCCCCACTGCCCTCAGCCCCTCACTCCTGAAGTGCTGCAAAGTGACAGTGATCCTCAGGCTGAGAGACCAGGCCCCACAGAGAAGCCTGACCAAACATTACCAGAAAAAAGAATGTGCTCTAGTGCCATTTTGGAAATTTCCACTTGTATGCCCTTCTGTTTTGCTGCCTGAAATTAGTAAAACAGATTTTTTTTTATTTCCCTTCACATAAATCAACTTCATTTAATAAAGTGATCTCCTTAACTTGGATGTGTGTATGCTTTAATGTCATGCATTTTGATCTGCTTCACCTAGTGTCACCCTGATATAATGTGATTTACAAATCTACTACAAGACTGAAGTATTTCCTAACCCTAAAGGAATACATTATTGTGTTTTATACCAAATTTAGACATACTCTAACCTATGAAGAACAATAATTGAGAGGGGCTGAAAAAATACAATGTTTAGTTTCAACCACCTTCATTCCAATTTAACTCTAAATTAATAGATTGTTTACTTCATTGTAGTCTAAAATACATGTATTCTCATCTAGAAACCTAATACAATCTGATCTCCTTTGTTCTACTATTATGGTATACAACCATTTTAATCCAATATTCTATTGCAAAAAAAAATTCAGGCTACTGATCAATTCTAAAAATTATCTCTAATCATTTATTAATCTAGTATAAACTGATGCAATTTGATGTTTATTTGGCCTGTGTTCTCAATCTAGAATACAGTGCCCTGCAAGCATTCACCATTTCACAAACATATCACATTTTCCTGAGTTGAAAATATTGCGTACATTAATTTTAATTAAAACATGAGTACTCAAAGAAAACATCTTTCACTCATAAAAGAGTTTGGGTTGAGCATTCAAGCTTTGATGAAAAACATACATCGTTTTGAAATTCAGAAAATGAGATATCATTGGAAGGATTGGTAAATACTTTTCAAGGCACTATATAGTGATTTACTTTAATCTCGTCTGCTACTACAAAGATTTTAAGTATGATCTCTAACTTAGGCCCCCGAGTTTGCTAGTTAGTTAGAATCAGCATTATCAAAAGGTGGTTAATATGAACTTAATATCTACTAATCTAGGAACAGGTAAAGAAGGCTCCACAGACAAAACATTGTGTCTCTTTTCTTTTCCTTACAGCATGGGATAAGCCTTTACCTGTTCCTTTGCAGCCTACGCATACTGACGCAGCTACCTACTTCAAGATCTAGCACAAAATCTAGATCTGATTTGATCCAATCATCTTTACAGCATCTTTAATTTGTTGCAGTGTAACAGACAACATTCCATGTCTGTATTTAAGCAGCCTTTTTTTGTCTAAAAAGGACATTTTCTTACATAAAATGGAATAATGTAGCATAATCCAATGAGCTCAAATGGCATATTCTGTAAGTTTCCTTCATATTTATTTGCTTAGCACATGCCGTTATTCAGGACAACCCAGCAAGGCAAGTGTGAGCGTCACTCAGAGGAGTCCAGTCCAGTCTAAAAGAGCTGCCCAACTGCCCCTATACTTTGCCCCTTTGTATTATACTTTGATATTTGTTTCTCTTTTTCCAAAACTGGAAGAGAGGAAAAAGACGACTTGGCAAAGGACAGGAGTACCTGGGTGGGGTGGCTGGAGAACACAAAACTCAGAAAAGAAGTTTTGAGCCCCAAAAATGTTAAGCCTAAAATGTTATGATCCACTGTTCCAACCCAATTAACTGGACTCTAGTTCAATAACATACTGTACTGTAGTAATAATGCACCAACTTTGTATTTTCACTAATATATTAGAGTACACTACTATATTGTTGTAGTGTTCTTCTAGTGCAGGGCATCTACACACCTGTGGGCTTTTGTTCCTGTTCATATACAGTAAATGAGCTCTTAATTGAAGGAACTGTTTTTCTTTATATTTGAAAATGTGAAAACTGGGTATTTGAAGATATGCATGAAACACAATAATTAAAAGGCAGCCCTCAAAATTTTTAAAAGATGAAAACAATGAAGGAAGACAACTATAGCCTATTGTTAGGTTAATTAACTATTTAACTGAGAAGAAAAATCAAGAGGCGCAACCTTCCAATTAACCCTATTCAGATAAAATGGAGGTGAGTGTTTGTACAATACTAGTAATTATAATACAAACTCACATCACTCCATTCAGTATGAAAGACTTATGTGCTGCCTTTCAATACAGTTCATTGCAATATACTGTGATCAGCTGTAAAGTAATAATGCATTTAATGTAATTATCTATGGCTGTAATCTGATATGGTCTAAAATAATTTTATCCGGTGTATTATAATCTAATGCTGAAACTATTTTTGTCTCTCGGAAGCTGATAGTGTGCTTCCATTTACTTTAAACCACAATACTGAAATTTAATATCAGTGCAGTTGCTTTGACTTAATGTAGAGGATTTTGCGCAATTACACAACTATAGCTTTAATCTCTCTGGATATCCCATTTTCTATCACTGTTCCCCTCCCTACAATATCCTGAGCAGACAATGGAATGGAAGGTATTTCCCCAGATTTTTAGAAATCACATGCTCTTTAGTTTAATCTAAGGTAATCTACATTTGACTCCAGTAGGATTTGATCCACAGTACTCTGCTGCAATATAATTTACTGTAATCCAATCTGAAAGACTGAAATGTTGTTTCCCTACCCTTGTGTCACCTATCCCCCCCTTTCCTCCTATTTAAAATGCGACAGGAAGTAGCTGACGGGGTAGTGGGGTGAGTCAATGCCCAATGCCTGGGAGAGGGTGAGGAGGGAGAGGCGGGCATCTTGGGGGCGCTCGGCACGCACCCCCACGTTGCAGTAGGGCTCCTCATACTCTCCAGCGATTAGCTCCTCCTCCATCTCACAGAGCCGCAGCACCCCCCTGCGGTGCAGCTCCCTGAGCACTGGGGGGCTGGCCGTGGTGCGCAAGGCGTGGAGGTGCTGGGAGACCACGCACATCACCCCTGTCAGGTGGCAGAGGGCGGGCAGACGTTGAGGAGGCAAGCGGGGAGCCAAGCCACAGGCAATCAGGAAGGCACAGAAGAGGATGTCCACCCCAAAGATCTCCCGGATCCAGTCGCGCAGGTAGAATCCCCCCATGCGGGCATTGATCTCGATGAGCTTGGGTCCTGAAGGGGTCATCTTCATCTCCACGTTGAAGACCCCATCCCGCAGGCCGCAACCTAGGCAGCAGCGGTAAGCGGCCTCGATGAGCTGCGCCTCCTTATCACGCGGCAGGCCAGTGGGCATCTGGGCGGCAGTTTCGGTGAAGCCGGGGACCCTTGTGGGGCCGTTGTCAGACACAAAGGCTCCCTCCAGCCTGCCGTCAAAGATGACCACGTCCACGTCATGCTCTGTGCCCCCAATATATTCCATCAGGGTCATGGCATTCCCCCAACCCAGCCCAATGCCGGGGTAGTCCGTCTCCTCCCGTAGGTCACCTGCGATTTTCTCCAGGTGGGCCAGGCTCTCGGACAGGGAATCGACCCGCTTCACGCCCACGGCCCCGGCCCCGTATTCCAGCTTCATTATGGCAGGGAAGCGGAGTTTGATGCTGCCGTCCCCAATCTCACCATCTGTCACAACCTTCTGGATGTCGGCTGCACTCTCCACGTGTGCACAAGGGACAGCGTAGATCCGGGGGGATGGGAAAAGCAGGGGGACAGAGCGACTGCGAGAGGCAAGAGGGCCTAGGGGGTCTGGGTGCTGGGAACTGAAAATTTTGAAACTTTTGGATGCAGACTCAAAGGGGAAAGAGGGCAGGGATTGGGGATTATTGTCAATGAGGTGAACCAAATTCAGGGACTGATTTGGGGGTTTGCTAGAGGAAGAGAAATATGAGTTTTGTTCGGAAAGTTTTTCATTGTTGAGTGAAAGGCTTTGGGATACACCTAGTGTGAGAGGCTGGGGGTATTTGTGGGAGAGATTGGATGGGCTAAGGAGCTCATTCTGAGACAGTAGAGAGAAGCAGGATTTGGGTTCTATGATGGGGAGATAAGACTGGTTTGTGAGTGCTGTGGCCAGAGAAAGGGGCAATTCTTTCTTCACTAGAGGAGAATCCCTATCCCTGGTCTGCTCCACTAGAATCTGAAGCTCCCTCTTTTCCAATAAATCACTTTTTATGGCTGTACTGTCCTTCCCCTGAAGATTTACCAAATTCCTTGTATCTACCTTGATTCTGTTCTCTCTGTCTACAGCTTTTTCCTCCATCTTCTCCATCAACTGCTTCTCAATATCTGAATTCTCATTTTCTTTAAGATCAGCTTCACTCCACACACAAGATAAATTCTGAAACATTTCTCTTTTGTTTTGCGAAAGAACGTTCATCCCAGTCCCCCCTTCCTTCATTGCCTGTTCTGTGTTGTTACCCAAACTGGCATTCTCTTCATTATCAAATCGGTGCTTGGCATCAGCAAAAGCTTTAAGTGCTTCTTCACTGTCTTCCCTGATGTCAGTTTCTTTTTCCACCAACACATCCTTCCTTTTTGCCAATTCATCAATGCCAAAACTCTTCTTCCCATTGCAATCAACACTGTGGGAAAGAGAAGATCCCAGCTCTTCCTCTTTGTCTTCCTGATCTGAAGCGAGGGACAAGGCAGATGGCTTGGGTAACAGAAGGTGGACATTCTGCTTGGAGAGCAAGTTGTGGTCCTGGTGAAATGCACTGCGGGATATTCTAGAAGTACACCCTACATCCTGAGATGAAGAAGAAAGCCCCAGAAGATGGAGGTGGGTACGGCTCTTTTCCTTGGAGGTCTGGACAGCCTCAGGAGGTGGGCCGCGGAGGCCCAGGTGCTGGCAGATGAGTGAAGCCAGAACGATGCAGTCATCCCAGAAACAGAGGCAGCCATCAGGCTGGAGGTCGTTTTGTGAGAGCCAAGCACAGATGCGAGCACAGTGCTCCTCGTCCTGCTGGTGGTCGGTCACATCCATGGCGAGGAATCTGGAGACCAACCCTGCTGCAAAGTGAGAGGGGTCTGACTCCACCAGGAAGATCTGAAAGAGAAAGAGAGAGGTGGGTTAACATAATAAAACACAGACACTCAATGACTGGATTCTACAGATGCAGAAGGAGGTGGGAACAGGTGATGTTGTCCTTCCTTTCATGTTATTTTCTAATCTCTTTCATTCCTCCCCTAACTAGTCTTTCCCTTCTGTCATTCCCTTTCACTCTCTTCAGCCTGCTACCTTCAGTCCATAGTCTCTGGCGGATTCCCAGACGAACTTCTTGCTGATCCTCCCTGCCCCAATCACCAGCACACTCTTCCCCCGCAGCAGGTGGCGCTGTGAGCGAGTGAGAGGGGTGTGGAGGAGGGAGCCAGGGCTCTCTGCCTCTCCTCTCTCCTCCTTCCCTGTCATTGCAGCCGTCCCCAGGGCACAGCTCTGAAGACACTGCCAGGAATGCAGCCCCAGGACCACAGGGGTCAGCTCCGCACTACCATTCGAGAGGCAGAGCAGCATGTCCACTCCTGCAAAGACAGTATTGCTTGAACCTCAGAAAGTTACATTAGGGGGTTAAGTAACTTGATGATGTGGCCACAAGGCACTGGTCCACTAACTTTCTATTACAGGAGAGAAAGTCTTCAGAAAGTCAGCATATCATGGGAAGAGCTTCAGTTTTGCACAAAACTTTTTGTGTCTGAGAAAACACAGTGAGAGATATGCCTTTGTTTTCCTTAAAACTTGAAACTGACACTGTTCGTGTGGCAAAAGATCGCAAGATCCCACTGCCATGCCTGGCCTAAGGGTTGAAGGACAGTTTTGCTATTTTTTTACACGGCAACTGAAATTTCATTCCACAAGGAGGGAAGGGTGCTTAGGCACATTTATGAGACTTTGACCAAGACAATGTATGTTCTGATCTAAAGAGTAAGAAGTATGTTATGGGTGGCTGGGGGAGGTGACCCATATTGTACACAACATTCAAAATGAGGACTTACAGTACTTGAGGTGACAGAAGATTTTAGGATCATTCAGGTTTAAAAATAACTATAATAGTGTGAATATTGTATCACTTTTTCAATTGCTTGTTTGTGGTTTATGGCCCCTGACATATATGATTATAACATAATCAACGTGTAAGAAAAATTCACTACCACTCCAACCTGCTCACTACAAAAACAAACATCAAGTAGCATGGAAGAAGCAGGTTGTGTGATTCTAGAATAAACTACTGATCTCGTGACCTTTAAGGACTCACTTTATCATCATGAATCAACTGAAGCTAGAAAACCCACTAGATTTGACCAGGAATCATGTCTGCTCTCGTTCTGTGCTCACCAATGAGATCAGTCTGGGCAGCTATGCCTCCACGTTGGTCAGGAGACAGGCCTGCTTCAGTATCCATGACAACACGCAGGCATCGCTGCGCAGTCTGGGACAGCAGGCGGTGGACTGAGAGGCAGAAGGAGGGATCAGAGAAGCCCCATTCCCGCAGCGCGGTGTTCAGTGATTGGGGGAGGGAGTCCCGGTGGGAGAGAGGAGAGTCACTGACTCCAACCCTGCACACCAGCTGAGATGAAAAGGGAAAGAGGTTAAAACCAGGAGGCTAGGAGATGTTTTCTCTTAGTCTTTCTTTTTTGCCTCACCTTGTAGAGCAGAGGGACATCCTGTGGAGATCTGGTAACGATAGCGCAGATTTTCATGGACAATTCAGGAGCTGGAATATTCGCATCTGAAACGCAGAGATGGTTTCTACAGGAGAGGACAACAGCTACACTGCACTCTACTCTTCTCTCTCTTGTACTATAATGAACCAGGCATGCAGCTATGCTGTGCAGTGATGTACTGTCTCTATTGTACTGTACTGAACTATGTATGTAGTTACACTGTGCTTTCCTATACTGTCACTATTGCACTACATGGCACTAGGCATGAGGCTACACTGTGCTATGCTATACTGTTTGTACTGTGCTGTACTAAACTAGGATTGTGTAGTTACATTGTGCTGTGCTGTGCTGTATGTCACCGTTGTACTAAAACTCTGTAGTGTACTGCTTTTGAGCATGTGAGCTATGTTCCTCTAGGTCATGTTGTGACAGATGTGAAGACGGGTTCCCTCTCTCACCCTGATACCCCTCCCAGCTCTGTAGTCGAACCCGAGCCCCCCTTGTCAAGGTGGGACAGTAGGCCTCCAGCAATGCAGCCTCCCCTTTCTCCAGTAGAGGCAGCAGAGAACAAAGCCCTGCCCACACTGCCTCCAAGTTTTTCTGGTCCAGGAAGCGCACAGGAATTCCAGCCCTGCCTGGCCACTGGGCCCTGCTTGACTTCAGCACTACCTGGTGGGCAGACGGAGAACTACATTTACAGACTAAAGCTACTCCATTCACACTTGGATAATACAATGCTTTAATTAATTCTGCACTTTTAGACTTATTAGAAAACTGAGATGACTGACTAGACTATTTTAAAACTGCACTGACTAAATTGTCTTAATACAGCATTAAGAGACTGGACTGTTATAACAGTGTACTGACCGGCAAGGCTATTGTAATGCAATAGCCTTGCCGGTCAGTACAGTAACATGGTACTGACACAAGACTCAAGTACTGCTACCTCTCAGCAAAATTTACTATTTTGTAAATAAGAGAGCTGGGCACTTCCCCTCATTAATCTGCTCTGCAAGACTTAATCTGCAAGGCTTTTCTGCCTTGTAATTGTTCTACCACTGTAATTGCTAATGGGCCTATTTCTGCAATAAGAATTTAGACAAACACCAGAGCGGGTGTGTTCAGATCAATTAGTGACCCAGTAGTGCAGTTTTCCTCCAATGGCTTTTGCCCATGTCTTTATAGAGCCATGGCATCATCTTCTATAGCATGGCTTCCCAGTTTATCCCAGACAATCACAGTTTCTCTACACTTTCTGTGAAGACGCTTCCTAATTTTGGTTCAAATTACCCTAAATACATTCATTTATAAATCTCATATTGAAGAGTCATCTTGATAAAGAATGATCGACTTAGTTTTTGTGACACAACTGAACTCAATATTATAATTGAGATCTGACTGATGTTGTGTAACTTAATCTTATTTCTCTTGTTGCAATTATATACTTTTCATATATTTCATGTAGAAAATATTATATCCTCAACCATATGCTAATATGTCAACATTACTACTATTAATTACCATGATAGTGTTAACGACCCACCCTCTACTTACCTTTCCTGATCTCTGCACCACTGCCGACTCCAGGAAGCTCTGCACTGCCTTCCTCACCCTCTCTTCCTCCTCCTCCTTCATAAAGTCAGTAACCTCCACAATGCATACCCCAGCCTCGTCCCCTCCATAGTTTAGCTTGTCTGTCAGGGGACTGAGGACCACGGCCAAAGTAGGGGGGCAGCAGAGACCCCCTCTCTGTAATGCAATCCGGGCATTCAGAGTGTCGCCCCAGAACTGGAAGAGATCTGCTGAGCCTCCCATGGGGCAATCCAGCTCCCGGGTCACTTCCTGTATCTGTTCTGCCCAGGGAGCACAGGGGAGAAAATAGGTAACCTGCCTTGGGGGGTCAAAGGTCAACAACTGGGTGCGGCCCCCCAAATCAAAGGACACAGCCCGATGGACCAGCAGTAAAGTAGATGGAGGAGAAGGGCAGCAAGAAAGCCAAGTGGGGGAGAGACAAAGGAGGGCATCCCCTGAAAGAGAGAGAAAGAGAAGGGGTGAGTGTAGAGCAGTGCTTTTGGCCCACGTTCTCTGGAGTCCCACAAAACCTGGAGCAGCTGACTGTTGGGAGTAGGGCTCCCTTTGCAAAGACCTGAGCAGTCAAGATCACCTTGACTACTACTATCAAATTGGGTGAACATCAACACTGCACTGGGTGAGAGGAGTTAATTTAGTAACACTTCACTAGGACAGGATGGTTAATGCACATATTGACTGGATACTACACTACGCATTGACACTATTGAGAGAGAGATTAATACAGACACACTGACTGGACGGTACAGTACAGTACTGCAACATGACTGGGATGGAAAAAAAGGCAGACATAAACAAGATTTGGTTTGGAACAGCAGATGGAAAAAAGGGGCAGAGAGGGTAAGGAACCAGAGGGTAAGTCAGATTTGCAGAGGTCAAGGGCTTGAGTGACATTCTTGACTCGGGCATACAGCCCAAGTCTGCTTTCCAAGTGGGAAAGAGAGACGGATCGTTTTTTCTCGGGTAATGTAGGGTCATGACGTCCAGACAAAAAGGTCATGTTACCGTGTGTTTAGAAATTCAACTTGATAAATTCTGTTATTTTTAATTTGACCCTTGTTGCAGATTAGGCAGATATTTCCTTTTCAAATTCTTACTCAAGGAAGAGCAACATTTGGGCATTTTTCGTTCTCATTACTAGTTGACATCCCCTTATTATTAACAGTTAGATTTTTTCCCTCTGATTTACTGCACCCGACTAAACATTAGCATGATTTACCACAATACAGTCTAGTCTAGGCTAAGGTCAAAACAAGTGCACTTTTCATTGCCCCTTTAGATAAGGTCATTGTTATCAGCTGTGCCAAACAGCTGCCAAGTTCATTTTTTTTGCCAGCGAAGAAATTGACCCTGATTTCACACCAAGGAACAGCTGCAACAGCTCTTATTGACTGTGGGATCAGAAAACAGAAACAAGACAGAAGAGGAATTCTGTACAGAACCTTGTTAACAGGTACTAATTCTTAACTATACTCATGTGCAAAAGTTCATTAATTGAACCCACTGCTGTAATCAGTCTCTCCTCTTACACAGCTCAAGCCATCACCACAGGTAACATATATACTGTATCCAGTCACTCAGGCAGTCAGGCAGTGAGTCGATATGAAACAGCTTCCTTACCTGGAGACACTGTACCTGCTTCTAACAGCAGAGACAAGTAAGGGAGAGGAGAGCCGAGCACACAGATACACATTGCAGAGTAGGATTCACCTGGAGAGAGATAAATACATACAGGACAAATACAGAGACTGATTGGACACTACAGTACCTTAACACTGCACTGAGAGAGAAAGTTTATTAATCTCACTGGACATTTTTAATTTAAAACATTTTGAAAGAAGTCAAGCCAGCTGTTTTTTGTCATTATTTTTCCAGTCGTTATCTTACAACCCCTGGATAGCTTGCAAGGAAATCTGTCTGCATCAGCAACTAAACTGTGAGTCTTAATTTCACAAAGCTCAGTTTGGGGCGAAGAGCTGAAAGATTACCCCCTGATCAGCCATGCTCTTTGAAGACGTTTTGACTTGAAGAAGTCAGTCTTGTGCCAAATGCTGGGTGGAGTTAATGTTTCTCCACAGTGGAATAAGACAGTTGTTGGGGTTATGTGAGCATTTTCACTCCTACTAACGTCCTGCCTATCTTCCTGCAATTCCACAGTTCCTCACAGATTCTCTCAACCCATGACTGTGTGGACAAGCAGTCACTTCCCTCTCCGCCAGGTGAAGAGCTGCCCTCTATTCTGAAACAACCAAACAGGCACACAACCAATCAGTCCCAAAGCTGGAACCCCTGCTTCCTGGTTTCGAAATCATAAACTGAACAATTGTTTTCTGTCACGCGGTCAGGAGACTAAGAGGACTGTGGGGAAAGTGGTTCAAATCTCTCAATCTTGTTCGAGCCGCCCTCTCACACCCAGAAAGTGAAGTAGTTCACTTTGTTCTAAGCGAGAGTGATGTTCTGTTGTTCTCTTGATGGTGAGAGGGCACCACCCACTCTCTCTTTTCTGAATAAGTGGTCAGTGGAGCAATAGAGTTCTCAGCTGCAGCCAAAACACAGAATTCCTGAACGCCAACTCTTATTGGGATTTTACCAGCTGCAGGGGCGCCACCCAGGAATGTCCCATCCCGAGTCAGGGGGAGCCCCAGTTCTCTCAAGGCGTCCTGAAGGAGCTGGAACAGCATGTTAGCCTCCTCGTTCTCCTCTTGGCGCAGCGCCCCCAAACCAGAACCTCCTTCCTTGAGGCGCATGACCTGGGAGCCACTGGGGGAGACAGAGGTGGATCCTGACATAGCAAATGGCCTGCCGGGGGAGAGCTGATGGAGCTGGGAGAGAATAACCCAGGACAGTGCAGGAACCACTGAAGAGAGAGACAGAGAGATCTGTTTAGTCAGTGTGTTTGATTAATTTTTAATTACTTGAACCTGGGTTTTGAAAATTACATTACACAGACTCCAGACTGTGGCTGAACTTTCTCACCCTCTGTTTCTATCGGACACAGAGAGCTTATATGCAGGAATGTGGGCTAGAGTCCGTCAGCACAGACACTGATCCAGATAGTGTTACTGACACTGACACTGACACTGACAAGTATACTGATTTATAGTGATTACGGTCTACTGGTTCTTTTTTTAGGTGCGAAAGAGAAATATCATACAGGGGACGTTGGACTGTTATAGAAAGTTTGAGTTTTCTTTTTGGTTTAGTGCTGTATAACAGACAGGTTATGATTTTTGTATGAATGTAATTTTCATGTATTCAAGGTCCAGAGATGGAAGAAACACATTCTCACTACTGGTGACTGCAGCTGCTGTTTATAGACATTTAGAAACTCTACTTAATGTCTTTATTTTTTCTCCCACCATGATAAAGCCAAGCTTTTACCTACAAGATTATCAGGCCCTGCATTGTCCAGGCATTTTTCCCACACAAGATTTAAATTGTGATTGATTGATCCAAAGATCTCGTCCAGCATTTTCTGAAAAGAAGCCCGGGTATTAGCCTTATCAACATGGCGGGGCACCTTGTTCCATGCTCCCACCACCCTTTGCGTAACAAAGCACCTCCCGGTCAGATTCAGATATACTTTTTTGAAGTTTTCATATGTGCCCTCATGCACATGTTTCACTGTTGGTGCTGAAATCCATTATAGGTAAAAATGCATTGCAAACCAGACATTGCTCTGCCAAACCAGGGATGAAAGCAACTGTCAGCCATTGTGCTCCATTTTATTTTAAACTGCTAAAAATCCTGATGCCTCTGTCTGTTTCAAGAAATGTAAGATAACCACTTCGGCCTTAACACGAATGATCACTGAATAAGACTGCAGTATTTATCTGGATGTGGTTTGTAGCAAACTCTTATCACTGGACTGTTTTTATCGGTTCTGAGACCCTTGAGTCATGTAGGTGAAGCTTCTTCCTTGAAGATTCCCGTTGTAAAGTAGTTAATAGCTACACCTCCCGCCTCTCCTGGAAGATGTAAAGGTTTATTCCATACTGAAAAAAGAAGGAAAGCAACACTGAGTTTCGGCTTCACACCTGAAGAAGGCTCCCCGAAGAAGGCTCCACAGCCAAAATCTTGTGTTTCTTTTCCTCTCCGTTCAGCAAGGAATAAACCTTTACTTGTTCCTTTGCAGCCTACGCATGCTCATGCAGCTCCCTACTTGAACTTCTCCTGGAAGATGTTGTATTTGTCGCCTCCACTCCCAGCCAGTCCTATTTCATGGAGTCCAGTTACATCACAGTCACCCACAGCTGCAGTAAATCCTTTCCTTTCCAGTCCTTTGACATTTTGTCTCTCCCTGGGGTTCCTGGCTCCCAGTGTTTCTCCCCTGAAGACTCTCTTTAGGATACCTCCCCACACACACACCCACTCTGACCCTGTGCCCCTTCTCCATTCTAGCAGAATAGCAGTTTCTCTGAGGATCATGGATGACAGGTGCCCATCATGTACGACAAGAATCCATCATGCCTGTGCTGTTGCACGAAATGTCATTTGTCGGAACATTAACAACCACAAATAGGTCTTGACCACAATTCACTTCTCTTTAGATATCAGGTGGGTAGCTGCATCAGCATGCGTAGGCTGCAAAGGAACAAGTAATAGGTTTATTCCATGCTGAAAAAAAGAAGAAAGAGAACACAACGTTTTGGCCGTGGAGCCTTCTTCAGGTGTGAAGAAGGCTCCACGGCCGAAACGTTGTGTTCTCTTTCTTCTTTTTTTCAGCATGGAATAAACCTATTACTTGTTCCTCTTTAGATATCATCCACCATGTTACCAGGGACACAGTGTTAAAGTGACCTTATCACTGCATAGCTATACTCTAGTGCCCAAACTGGTGCTGCGTGTACACAGTTAGAACCTAGTATCCTACACTGGCACTGTCTGTATGCAGCTATAACCTAGTGTTCTAGAATGGCACTGCCTGTATACAGTAAGAATTGAATAATTGAATTGGCTTCTTCATTCTGTTCTCCTCCCCACTGACAGCTGGTGTGTGGTGAGTGTACTGGTGCACTATGGCAGCCATCGCATCACCCAGGTGGGGCTGCACACTGGTGGTGGTGGAGGGGAGTCGCCATTACCTGTGAAGCGCTTTGAGTGGAGTGTCCAGAAAAGGGCTATATAAGTGTAAGGATTATTATTATTAGTAGCAGTAGTGTTGTTTATTCCATGCTGAAAAGAGAAGAAAGAAAACACAATGTTTCGGCCGTGGAGCCTTCTTCAGATGTGAGGCTCACTTGTTCCTTTGCAGCCTACGCATACTGACGCAGCTACAAACTTGTAGTAGTGTTGCTGTTGTTGTTACACTGGTGCTGTTTGTAAACTGTTATAATCTAGTGTTTTACCCTGGAAATAAGTATATCCAGTGATTAACTAGCGTCCTAGATAGTTATTGTTTGTTAACGGGATATGGATATGGGTAGGGGGTCGTAGCTTCGTCTTTTCGTTTGATTAAAATCCATTGTTTCTGTAATATCGGCCAAACATTGCCTCTGACCGACTTTCTTCACCATTGGAGATACACATGAAAGGCGAATGCACGATGATCGTCACAGCTAAACTAGGCGGCACTGCTCAGATCAGTGCGAAGCTTCTATCGCGTCTCACTTTAGCGGTTTGGACTGGGGGGTTGGATTACGATTGAATACCAGAAATTACTCGCGTTCACTCTGGGGCGAGCACGCAGCCCCCTGAGCTATAACATGCCCCCTTAAAGCAGAATGCTGTGCTATAATCTACCTGGCGTTTTAAATTGTTTACTGTGTATTGTGCATACCATCTATTTTTGGACTTTGCACGTTTGCCACAGATGTAAGTCTCACAACGCTTCAACATTCTGCTTTACTACCAAATACTGTACAATGCCAATGTTGCCTCAATGGAAAAATGCGCGTGGGGTCACATTTCACTTCGCGGAAGATACAAAATTGAAATTTGCTGCCTTTTAAACTCCGCTGGCTGAAGAGGAGCAGAGCGGGCAGGTGGGACGAGGACGAGTTTTTTAAAGAAAAAGTTTCCCCCCGCCCGACATGAACAGGGCAAGACGCGTGGAGTAAAGGCTCGTCACTGAACTACTGGTTTGTGATACCCGCAGCCGCGCTCAGTCTTTTCTGTGCCGGGCTCTGTAGCACATGACAGCCGAACGGTCCTGTGCACAGGTGGGCTTATATCCAGATGTGAGCAAGAGCTTAATTCGACGATACAAAAGCAATAAAAACAGAACAATTTCTGGGCGTTGAAAACCACTCACCCGGAGAGGTTCCGCAGGTTCACAGATCCGCAACCTGAGGTTTTTTACCTTTTCCTCTTGTCAGTGTGGATTTTACCCTTTTGGTCCTTTGTTGCTCGGACGCCGATTTTCTAACCCCACGGCAGCAGCCCGTTCTAGGACATCTGTCACAGCCGGCGAGTCGCACCCACAGAGAGAGAGCGCGTCTCGCTGAAGACACGCAGGCAGGAAACTGATAAATGTGTACACGGCTGCGCCGTATAAATAGGATCCAAGGAATTTGTGGTGGCCCTCGTTTTAGTGCTCCTTTCAGATAGACTGAAACTCTGCAAAGTGGGATTCATTAACCTTTACATCCATACAGTACATTATTCTCCGAAGTGGGATCACAAGATACAATCGGACCCTGGATCTTAACAATTGTAAAATTGAAGTGGAAAAAAAAACTATGACAAAAAAGGGATTCCGGGTGTTTTCGAGTCAGTAGGATACCAGTATCCCACGGGGAATGTGCTGTCGTTTTTCTGTCACAGGTGGATTCCCTCCTCACATTCAAAGCGTCATACATTTGCAACCATTTTTACCACGCGGTATTTTACTGAAGCAATTTGCGTGCTGTACTTTGCTCAAGAGCACAAGAGCAGTGTCTCAGGTGCGATTTGAACCCACAACTTTCCAGTTATGAAAAAGAAGAGAGAAGCTTTGTGCATTCTCGGAGCCCGAAAGCAACCGGACGCGATCTCTGGAAGGGGGTGCTTTCGTTACATGAAGGGTTTTCTTTTAAAAAGCACAGAGGATCTTACAGTATTTTTGTCTTCGGTAGACGGCATTATCTATATTGGGATACCGAGATCCGTTGAGAAGGTATTTTTCTTCATCTGGGGAGTTTAACCCTGTAACCTCTGAGCTCGACTGGAATCCGTCATGCCTGTGCTCTTGCCCTTTGCCGTGGAATGGTTCCCAGTAGCTGAGAAAGCTGATTCCTTATTCTGCTCACCCTGACCTCTACCACAAGCTCTGTTGACAGGGCAATATTTGCATGACTACTCTTTGATACAGAAACCTACGGTCTAGGGGTTATTCTTCAATTTAATTCCAATGACTATGATTTTTTCCTTAGGGAAAACATGTCATTTCTCAAAACATTAGAATCCACATAAGGCTTGATCAAAATTCACTATCCTTTAGACAATGTCATCCAACTTAATACCAGACACAGTGTTACAGTGATATTATCACTGCTTAGTTATAATCTACTGCCCAAACTGGCACAGCTTGTATACAGTTATAATCTGTGTCCTTGACTGCCACTGTCTGAATACAGACGTTATTTATACTGTACCTTTCACTGTTACTACAATTTTGATTATTTTTAAAGGCATAAACACTTTACTCTGCCTTCGTTGCAAAATGTACGGCGTGAAACGGAGCACGCTATTGTAAGAGTCTTCGCAAGTATATTTCAAAGTAATAGCAAGGGGTAACGGGTATTCACATTGAGAAACATGTGTACACATACAAACGGAATAGTAAACGGCACAGCACCACAGTGCAGCACTATGTGTGTAAAACTATAGTATTTATAACAAAACACATTCTTCACCTGCAGTATCTTAGCCCAAATGACTAATGACCCCAAACGAACTGTCGCTGAACTGCAACTGAACAGTGTAGTTATAAATGCTCATGTTCTGCTCCCTCTGTGCTCACAGAGAATATACTGGAGCTACTGTCGTGTGTTACATTAAAAACTGAAACTCACAAGTTACCGTTAATACTGTATAGGTGATTATGAACAGGATATATTTCAGCCTGTTATGTTACAGGTCCAGCACTATGTGATTTTCCGTAGTTTTTGTTGAAATGGAAAACAACATGAAACCATTACCTATTCTTCTTCTTATTGTCGTTGTTGTTACACTGGTTCTGTCTCTAAACTGTTGGAAGTATGTATATGCAGTTATTAACTACTATCCTCCAGAGTTATTGTATGTTAACGGGATATGGATATAGCTCGGGGGTCGTATCTTCGTCTTGCCATTTGATAAATTTATAAATTAGTGTCTCTTTTATTATTATTATTATTATTATTATTAACTGGACACAGTGCACACAGTTCAAATGTCGCACTATCGCTTATTACATTTCAGCCCAGCGATAAAAATGTACAGGTCGATAAATTGCTGAGTTCCAAATCAGTTTACACTTCAAATCAACAAAAAAACAGAACCGGATAGTGTAGTGTAGCGCACAGCTCTGTCATTGAGGTGCTGCTATTTTTTGACTGTGCAACATGCAAAGTGACCGTGTATAACAGTCATACAGATCAGTGCAGGGGTGGGGGACAGTGTGGCGTGTGGAGAGACACGACCCACAGTAGTTTGAAACGAATAATGTAGCAGTGAGTCGGACATTATACTGCACGCATCTGTGACCCACTTAAATAATCCGCTCACCACTGGCTAGCGATAATCTGATAAGCGACTTCTCTTCCGCTCTAATGGACAGGACAATGTCCTTAGGAAATTAAAGGGCAATCACGTAAAACTCATGATTACTAGGTAGACTGTTGAAGGAACTACAACATGTAAAAAGTAATTTTAATTCATCAGCAGCAAACCTTTCTCACATCTCTCACACTTTCTCACACTCTGTTTCCCTCACACAGAGTGAGACACGCACACAGAGCCCAGCTCTCCCCAAGACTCACCGGAGTGACTGCGCACGCTGAGGACGGGCACGGCACTGAAGCACAGAAACCGGGGCTGTCAGGCAAAGGGAGAGGGCGGGTAGAGGCGGAGAGAGAGAGGGGGGCTAGGAGAGGTGGAAGGAGAAAAGAAGGAAAAGATAGAGAGCGAGTAAGAGAGCGGTTTCTGGGCCGTTAAAGGGCAAGTCACACCTAGTTTCTCTGAGACGGACTGACATACGGGTCACCCGGTCCTTCTGGACTGCATGGGTAATCTCCACATGGCGGCACAATCTACTTCAAACTACCGGAATCAAACCCAGAGAAAATATATTGTTGTATGTTTTTAAGGGTAACTGGGTATATTTGTTACTTAAGCCTTTTCAGATTTTTCAATGGGCAACTAAACGGAACCTATTTCTCTTGGAATCGGACCGTGTCGAATAACAGACCAAGCGTGACGAAATAGCACCGATGACGCGTCTCACCTTGACTCTCACTCTCAGAGGGTCAAAGTCTTATAAAATAATATCGTACTGTCCCAACAGCAGCGCGATTAATTACTGCTGTATTTTGGTAATAGTAAGAAAAATATGACGTCAACCTTCACCACAAGCGATTATTAATAGCAGCGATTAATTTGAGAGTACACGCAATGTAAATATTTCCAATCTCTGAGTCAGCCATTGTAACTGATAAGATAACGTGGTTAGGTCAGGTTTGTCCCTCTATTAGGGATAGTCGGTCAAGGCACTAGGTAGAGGTAGATTTAATTACACTAAAAACTTCGAACCTTAAGACTAACTGCTTAATTAGCGTGGGGTCCTCAGATCTCTTCCAAAAAAAAAGCTGAAGGAAAGACTTGTAATGACGTGGAGTCCCGGTTCGAATGTAGATCACTCCGGTTCTATAATTAAGTTGTCGCTCCCGACTCTGCTAACTCTTGAAGACCAATTTCCGACGATCTTTTGCCAGGTTCCGCTGCTTCTGGATCAGTGTGTCCGGAGCGCCGAATAAAAGACAGGCAAACAAACCGCACAACGCGTGGAGCACTAGTCCTCCAGCAAAGGAAGCCGAGGCTTTAACGGGGGGGAAGGGGGTGTTTGGTTGCAAACCACGACTGGAATGATTGGCCAGTGGACTGACTGTTTAAAGTGCCCATGATTGTTCAGTTGCACCTGGGGAGTGGCGCTTTAATATTCCTTCGGTATAATGATTGCATGATCCTGTGCGAGCCCAACAAAGTCTCATTTGGGCTTAACTGCCTTTCAAACACTTGATCAGTATATCTTGGCGTACAATGTCACCGCAATGTCAAATCCGTTATCATTGCTGTACAAATTACACTTTATACTTGTGTATACTTGTGTATACCCTGTTGAGGAAATAGCAAAACGTCGAATAAACTAAGAATCTCGTGTTATTGCACATTCACAATCCATGCAGTTATCAATACAAAGGGGTGTGATAACACGTGATGACTTTTACATTTTGAAATGTAATGTGTTACAATGAGTGTGTTACAATATGTGTTCAAATCTCTTTAAGTCACTGGGCTGATCACTAAGTAAATTCTATTTTACATTGTATTTATCACTCATATCAGTCTCATGATTGCAAATACAAAATGCTTGACTCAGAGCGAGATATATCAGCTTTCTGTGTATATCTATGGTGTGAATATAATCGTACAGGTGACGAAAACTAAAAACTAAATAAATTCTAAGTTGCTGCTATGGAGTTTATTTGATTTTGAATCTGTATTAAGCCCTCTCTCTCTCTCAGCACAGTGTTATTGTACTGTAGTGTCCAGTCAGTGTGTCTGTACTTTATGATGTAGGGTGGTTAGAGTTATGACAGCACTATACACATTAATCAATTTAGACAGAAATAATGTAGGGCTACTGTGACCTAGACTGATTTCAGCCTCAAGACCTTTATAGTGTGAAAACATTGATCAGAGAACCAAGGTCATATAAGCTTCAGGATTACTATGTACATGTATAATGGTCTTATCAACTTTAAGAACTGTAACCATAGCAAATTTTACAGTATGCAAGTAATGAACTTTCAGTGAGTTGCTATCACATAGTAGTATGTGCATGTATTGTAAATTGTGGAGTATCAGAGGCAGTTTGTGGTGTAGAAATCTCTCCACTTGAAGCACAGGGGAGGCACAGAACCCAGTGCAGTGACTGAATTTGATGTTTTCAATATTCCTTTCAATATTCCTCTCAGCCATTTCCAGCACAGCACTGTAGTAATCCCCCTCTCAGTATATTATCCTCTCTCTCTCTCCGAGCAGTGTTGTAGTGTCCAGTCTCTGTTTCTGTCCTGCATTAATGACTCTCTGGCTCCTTTCATTTTTTATTCTCTCTGCGCACATTGATACTGAATGGCCTTGGCTGTGACTTAAGAAATCCCAGAGTGTGGTGGGTGAGAGTAATGGATGGAGTCACAGAGATTTTCAGTGGCAAGTGTTTGTGTGTCTGTGTGGAGCTGCAGTCACATGTCTGTCCTCACTCTGTGCTTTTCTTCCGAATGTTTAGGCTTGGATAAACACTTTTCACCAAGTTAAGTCCTAATGCCAGGAACTGTTCCTCCGCTCCAATTAACTTGGCTTCGATAGTCCACACGACTAAGACAATTAACTCCTTGTGACCCCCCCCTCCCTCCCATTTGCCTTATTCTGAAAATGGAGATATTGTAATGAGAATAACAATCTGATTAAAATAAAGTTCAGTCTCCTGTCCCACTTACTGATAAACTGAAATGGCAATGTACAGTAGGAACACAAATAACCTTGCCCTTTAATCCATATGTAGCTTGGGAAAGTACACACCGTACTACAATAAACTTAAATGGGGATTCTTTTTACTCTGGATCTGCATGAAATCATAACAAATGAGTGGTTGTATTATTTTCTGTTACAGAACTTAGATTGGATGCAGTGTAACCTTTAACCCTAAAGATTCACATAGATATACATGGAGATATACACACACCAGGATGCACAAAGTGCTACTAAAATAACAAAGACAAAGAAAAAAATATGGTAGTGGCAATTTCCCTAAGGAAAGAAATACACCACATTAGTCTGAATGCCACATTCTTCATTGGTCCCATTACATCACAGAAATATAAAAACAAAACTACTCACTTTAATCTCGTCTAATCCAAGACGCACAGAATATCACAGTCTTCTTTTAACATGCTCTGAACAAGTTAAACAGAATAAGGTCATTCTCAAAAAACAAAACAAATCATTTCCTCCACAAACAATGGTTAAAGAAATGCAAACTATGTATGACCATTTACCATTATGGACATTATTCCCGCAAACTCACCCACAAAGCACTGGAACCTCATGGGAGTCAGGATCACCTCATCCCTAAACATCCACCAATTTTGTCTAACTAATATGTCACCCTCCCCTCATATATCGACAATATACAGTACATCTCTTTCAAGGATTTCCAAACTTCATTTTTGATAGCTACACCATCAACTAAATTCTGAACATTTACCTCTGCATTCACATCACCCATAGCCACACTCCACGCTCAACTTTATGATGTCCACTTCCACAATTACTGGCGCACTGACGTCACTCATACGTGCGTGTCTTAAAGCGACAGCTACCAATTTCAGTGTCAGATTTCAAATATCCACTCCTTAATCACACGGTTACACATAAAATGAATTGGAAGGCATCCTGATTTTTTTACCTAACTTAGCCTTAACCCTAACATAATTCTCACTGATCATTTCAAAACTTTGCATGGAGAATTTGTTGTAACTGTGATGAAGCGTTCTTTCAGGACCCTATGCAGACAGCACAATCTGGGGAGGAGTGAGGAAAACACAGGGAAAAAAGCATGCAAAGGGGCTGGAAGGAAAACAGGGCCCGTGTACAAGGTGCACCGGTGTTCAGGGGGGTGTGTACAAGGCAAACAAGTCCAAGGAAGTCCATAGCAAATCCACGAATTATCCAATGTCCAAAACCGGGAGATCCATCCAGACACAGACCAACAGAGTTGTTCTGTGAGTCAGAGAGTTGTTGTTCAGAGAGTCAGGACGCCGTTGTGAAGCCAATGCCGTCGAGTCGCTCCTTAACTTGCAGGCAGGCAGGCTTCCAGGCATCCATCTTCCAAAGCTGAGCCCAGATTTGCAGGAACGTCTTCATCCGGTCTCCTGCTCCATTCATTTCAGTTCGAGGAATGAATCCGAACGCACAGGCCACACACTTGTCTGGCGATATGTGTGCAACTTGTGTCTTTTTATCTGGGGACAAACGATAAATGGAGTTTCCAACAAAAGTTTGGAAGAGGTGACACCAGCCAGCCCAGTTCAGCTGTCCTAAATCATAATCATAACCGATGTCAATTCCATCTCCTCCCCATCTCCACCTATGCAGCTGTCCCTTGCTCACTCCTCCAGATCACCAGAACCAGTACCCCACTCACATACAATTACACTAAACCACTATAATTAACAGATCACCCCTTTCCTTCAGCACATAATCCACTATTAGAACTTGCCCATCAACCAGTACTCCTTTACTGTGAAATCTTTTATAGATCGAGACATTTGATTGAGAGTGTGAGAAAATTATTATTGAGAAAATTCCTGTTAAAAAGGCTGAGGTATTCTTCACCAGGACATGTGAGGGATCAGAGGAGATACTAACAACAAGTCTCAACATATACTCTTAAGGGAAGCAGTTCGAGAGCTCTACTCAAGTGGCTGCCCCACTATCTTAGAACACACCCTCCAGAGCACAGGCATTATAGCTTTGTGTTGCCCTGAAAGACTGTTACACCAGATGGTTATTCCATACTGCATTACGCTTTGTATCACAGAACTGAAAAACACGGACAGAACCTGACTACTTACACCAAAAACCTGTAACCTTTGACGTACGTAAATTTGCTGTTATAGTTTTTCACAAATACAGTTTTTTATAGAATTAACTTGGTCAATGGACTTATTACACATTATGACATGGGGAAAATAATAATCTTTTTCATTCTTCCACATTTCTAGTATTAAAAATTAAGGAATTCTGGTCACAACAAGCAACCAAACAGTCTACACTGTTCTGGTATATGCTGGGTCATCATTATCACTCGTCAGAGAAGAGGTTGGGTCATCATCATAGATCGATACTTTATTGTGCACTACTGTGGAAATATGTCTTTAGATTCTCCCATAAAAGTGCAAAACATAAATGTCACATAAAATCATAAAAGAAGTACATGCAATCACGACAACAGTATGTGATACATAAATAGGTAGTGGGGGACTACATTTACATACATTCATTGAGCAGTTTGATTGCAGATGGGACGAAAGACGTCTTACAAATGTTTTTATTTACTTTGGCGCCCTATACCAACTTCCTGAAGGGAGTATTATGAATTGAGAATGGAGTGTGGATTCAGCTATGATGTTCCTTGCAATTCCTTGAGTACTGTATTATGATATAAATATAAACCCCAGGTTTCCATACCAAACTGTTAAATGCCAAGATGCTCTCAACAAGGCTTTTAGATGTCATCCCCATTACATTTTGGTTGACATGAAAGTTCTTTAGTCTTTTAATTAAAAACAGCCTCTGATTTGGTTTCTTAAAAAACTCAACTCTGATCAATATGTGTTCCCAGATATTTAAAACTCTCCAGAACCACTACAGACTGACCATAGAGTACTCTTGTCTGCAAAGATTGCCCACCGGAGGTTTTACCATTTAAGCATTATTCATCAGAGTGTGTTGTGGAGAAATTCTTTTGGGACTGATGTCGATAAGAAGAGCAAATACTGGGCTGTGCCGTTGTGTAAACATGGAGAGACGGCACCTTCCTCCCCACCCCATCGGTTCGGCTACACCTCAATCTGTTTGCAGACATGCCCACCGCCCTGCACCCCTTGAGCAGACAGAGAGAGAGCTAGACCCTGCTGGGCTGCAAGAAGAGGTAAAGAAAGTCAACCCAAGCAGCTGCACCTCCCTTTCCAAAGGGAACAAGCTGGAGACACCCCCTGAGCAGTGCTGGATGAGACACAAAGGCCACTAAGACAGCTGAAATGAATGTTTGCTCTACAGAGTCATACGATAGCACATTGGCACTGATGTTTAGGAGCTACGTTATATGAAGTGACACACAAACCAGACAGCACAAGTGGAAACTACAGGGAAGTGCATTTCAAACTAAGAACAGGAGGCGTTTCGTTACTCAAAGGCTTTTAGGAGTGTGGAACAAGCTACCCAGCCATGTTATTGAAGCTGAGGGTAAGGGAAATGAAATCCAAGCTACCAGATCTGAGAACTTACACAATTAAACCAGGCTGTGACCCATATGCAAACCTGATCAGCTTTAACTTCACAATGTGCTGGGAGACTTCTCTTATTCAGTCCATCAAGTAGGAGGTCCTCACAGCAAGGGGAAAGAATACAGAAAGTGTTATATAGCCGGAATGAAGGAGTGTCTAAACATGTCTTCCCAACAGAGAGTGGCTTAGAGTTTATGCCTAATTCATTTTTCAGGATGGCAAGAACTTGAGACAAACTGAGCTACTCTAATGTCATCAACTGAAGCAACTTATTTTCTCATCTCTGAGACAGTTCATGCACAGGTGGTTCTACTTCTCTGGTCATCTACAATGGTCAGTTATCTTCTTCAGTGTTGCTGGCCAGATAAATGTCTTTCTCCCTGGCCATCTCCTAGCAA